CAGCCTCGGAGTTTGCGAAGTGGGGTTTATTCACGCATGCGGACCCAGAGGAGATAAATTCCAAATTCTGGGTCCCGAGCTCAGGTGGGGGCTTGCTTATATTCTTGCAGGAGAAGGAAAGAGCGCAGTCACTGTTGGGAAGCCCAGGTTTACAGAAGCAGAAAGCGGGGGTTAGCGTGCGACCTTGAGATAACAGCTATCTGGGAATGGCTACTGCTCAGCTGCTCTGTGAGAACAGCTACTGCTCAGCTATATCCTGTCACAATCTGAGAATGGCCACTTCTCAGTATGTCCTGAACTGCTTATCTGAGAATGGCTACTGCACAGTATGTCCTGTCACAACTTAAATGTTAGACCCAAAGCCATAAAAATCATAGAAGAAAACATAGGCAGTAAAATCTCAGAAATTGCTTATAGCAGTATTTTGTCATATATATCTCCTCAGGCAAGAGAAACAAAAGAAAAAATAAACACATGGGACTACATCAAACTAAAAAGTTTTTGCACAGCAAAAGAAATCAACAAAATAAAAAGACAAATCACAGAATGTCAGAACATATTTGGCAATAAATCTTATAAGGAGTTAATATCCAAAGTTTATAAAGAACTTACAAAAGTCAACACCAAAAAACAAACAATCCAATTAAAAAATGGGCAAATGACCTGAATAGATACATCTCCAAAGAGGACATATAGATGGCCAATAGACATATGAAAAGGTTCTCGAGTTTTGGCCAAGATGGAGGCATAGGTAGAAACCCTTCACTTCCTCACACAACTAAAAAGTAGGATAACAACCAATGTAAAATCAATAAACAACCTGAAGCACCAAAAATTCAACATGCCTGGAACTCTGACAACCAAGGAATTAAAGAAAAAATCAGAACAACCACACGAGTAGGTCAGTGGACTACTCTGGCTGGACTGACTCAGAAAAACGGAGGCGAGGCAGTGGACCAGGTGGGCAGGGCTGGCTGAAGGCAAAACTGAGCCTCAGAGCTGACTGTGGATTATGATGATTGCTGCAGTGGGAGAAACTCCTAGTCTCACACAAGAGTCCATTGGAAAATACACTAGAGACCAGCAGGCAAGCAGCATTGTTCCCTCTCTGGCCCCTTCCCCACAGACAGCACACAGCGCAGCAAAGAGGGTTTCCCTGTTGGGGTGAATACCTAAGGCCCACCCCCTTACAACTTCTTAGCTGTGCCAAGACAAAGCAATATGGCCCCAATGAAAAAAGAGAGCAAAACTCAGAAAGAAAACTAAGTGATGAGGAGATAACCAACCTATCTGATGGAGAATTTAAAGCCCTGTTAATCAAAATGCTCACAGATCTGACTGAGCTTGGTTGAAAATGAAAAAACAAATGGAAGATACCCAAAATAAAATAAAGCAAAGTATTCAGGGAACCAACAGTAACAGGAAGGAAACCAGGATGCAAAACAATGATTTGGAACAAAAGGAAAAAATAAACATGCAACCACAACAGAATGAAGAAATAAGAATTCAGAAAAAGGGAAGAGAAAACTACAAACCTCTGGGACAACCTGAAATGTTCCAATATCCAAATTATAGGGGTGCAAGAAGGAGAAGAACAGCAAGAAACTGAAAACTCATTTTAATAAATAATGAAGGAAAACTTCCCCAATCTGGTGAAGGAAATAGATTTCTAGGAAGTCCAGGAAGCCCAGAGAGTCCCAAAGAAGTTGGACCCAAAGAGGAACACACCAAGGCACATCATCATTAAGTTACCCAAGATTAAAGACAAGGAGAGAATCCTAAAAGAAGCAAGAGGAAAGGAGAGAGTTACCCACAAAGGAGTGTCCATAAGACTATCAACTGATATCACAAAAGAAATCTTAGAGGCAAGGAGGGGCTGGAAAGAAGTATTTGAAGACATGAAAAGCAAGGACCTACATCTAAGATTGCTCTATCCAGCAAAGCTTTCATTTAGAATGGAAGGGCATATAAAGTGCTTCCCAAATAAGGTCAAGTTAAAGGAGTTCATCATCACCAAGCCATTATTATATGAAACATTAAAGGGAATTATCTAAGAAAAAGAAGATAAAAAATATGAACAGTAAAATGACAACAAACTCACAACTATCAACAAATGAACCTAAAAGGAAAGAAAAACAGTGAAAACAAAAACTAAGCAAACAACAGGAACAGGAACAGAATCAGAGAAACCAAAGGATTTCAGTGGGGAGGGGAGAGGAGGGACAGCGGGGAAAAGGTACAGGGAAGAAGCATAATTAGTAGGCATAAAATAGACAGGGAGAGATAAAAAGTGGTATAGGAAACAGAGGACTCAAAGAATGTGTATGTACAACCCTGGGACATGAACTAAGTGGGGGGATGCTGGAGGGTTGGGGGGTAGAAGGGGGATAGAGGGGGAAAATTGGGAAAACCATAATAGTATAATCAGTTAAAATACTAAAAAAAATTCTCAATGTCACTAATCATCAGAAAAATGAAAATTAAAACCACAATGAGATACCATCTCTCACCTGTCAGAATGCCTATCATCAATACATCAACAAATAAGTGCTGGTGAGGATGTGGAGAAAGGGGAATCCTCTTGCACTGTTGGTGGGAGTGAAGATTGGTGCAGCTACTGTGGAAAGCAGTATGGAGATACCTCAAAAATTTAAAAATGGACCTGCCTTTAGATTCAGTGATTCCACTCCTGGGAATATATCTGAAGGAACACAAAACACTAATTTAAAAGAACACAGACACTCCTATGTTCACTGCAGCGTTATTTACAATCACCAGGATATGGAAGCAGCCAAAGGGTCGGTCCATCAACAGATGAGTGGATAAACAACTGTGGGACATTTACGCAATGGAATACTACTCAGCTGTAAAAAAAAAAAAAATAAGAAAGTTTTTCCCTTTTTGACACTATGGATGAACCTGGAGAACATTATAGTAAGTGAAATAAGCCAGTCAGAGAAAGACAAATACCATATGATTTCACTCATATGTGGAATCTAACGAACAAACCAAACTAACAAGGAAAATGGGGACAGATTCATAGATGGAGAGCAGGATGACAGCTAGTGGGATGGCAGGGAAGAGGTGGAGAGGAATTGAGCAAAAAAGAAAAAGTACTCGTGGACATGGACAATAGTGTGGTGATTGCTGAGGGGAGGAGTATATAAAGGGATTAAATGGTAATGAGAAAAGTTATAATAAAGATTAAATTTTTAAAAAGACTACAAAATATTTCTCTAAATTATTCTTCTGAAGTATAAGGTCTCTTGAAGCATTTTAAGCATATTCAATAATGACAAAATTATTCCATCTAAGGACTTCAAAGAACATGGTTTTTAAATAAAACATGGTATATTTATATAAATTATCAATTACAGCTCTCCAAGAATTTATATTCTATAATACAATTAAAACCTTTCATTCATTTTATTCTCACATGCTTTTAGAGGAAATAAATTTTGTACTTTCATATTTCTTTAATTTTTTTATTGTTCAATTACAGTTGTCCCCATTTTTCCCCATTACTCTCTCCTGACCTATCCACCCCCACCTTCCACATTCAATCCTCCCTCCTGTTGTCCATGTCCATGGTTCCTTTATACATGTTCCTTGACTTGACCCTTCCCTTTCTTTCCCCATTATGCCCATCCCACCTCCCCTCTTGTCACTGTCAGTTTGTTCTTTATTTCCATTTCTCTATGTTCACTTGGTTCTATTTTGTTCACTTATTTCCCCTGCTGATTAGGTTACACATATAAATAAGATCATATGGTATTTGTCTGTCACTGCCTGGCTTATTTGACTAAGCATATTGCTTTCCAGTTCCATCCACACTGTCGCAAAGGCTAAGAAATTCTTCTTTCTTTCCTATGTGTAGTACTCCATTGTGTAAATATACCAGCTTTTTGATCCACACATTTACTTTTTACATTTTACTTTTTACATTTACTTTTCACTTTTTACATTTACTGATGGACACTTAGACTGTTTCTAAAACCAGAAAAGGAGGCTTTTGTGCTGCCTGTCACCTACCAGACCCAATAAGCAGAGACAGGAATTGAATGTTTACGGGTGCTTTATCCACGTGGCCGGCAATCTGAGAAGATGGCAGATTTCTACCCTGACGGACCATCTTATATTTCCTTTCAAGCCAGCCTTTTTATAACAGAGAACAAAGTGTGGTATGGGGTTTTGAAATTCAGGGAAAATTAGATTAAAAGCTGCAGAATTCTTGCCCTGCCCCATTAGCTGTCTCTGGTGGTAGTCTGTCTCTCCCTGGAACACAATGACTCGGATATCTCCAGCTGTGCCCCAGGAGGTCGTCTGTCTCACGGGGAGCCAGGGTGGGCCATACCTGCAGTTCCGGAACAATAGCTCTAACATATGCATTATCTACTAGGCTTATTAACTATTTACCTTAAACTAAAATTTTCCAACTCTTCAGTCCCCTATCATTTCCAGCACTTGGCTATTTTAAATTGTGCTGCTATGAACATTAGGGTACATAGGTTCTTTTGAATTGGTGTTTCAGGATTCTTAGAGCATAATCCCAGCAGTAGTATTGCTGGGGCAAAAGGCAGTTCCATTTTTAGTTTTCTGAGGAAATTCCATACCGTTTTCCACAGTGCCTGCACCAGTCTGGATTCCCACCAACAGTGTACTAGGGTTCCCTTTTCTCCACATCCTCTCCAATATTTGTTGTTTGTTGATCTGGTTATGATGTCCATTCTGACCATTGTGAAGTGGTCTCTCACTATGGTTTTAATTTGCATCTCTCTGATGGCTAGTGATGTTGAGCATACTCTCTTATGTCTATACATAGTAAGGTTTCACTTGGAAGAACAGAAAGTTAAATTGATAAAGTGAAAGAGTTTCTAAGCTTTAGTAAAGTGATCTACCTAACTAAATATTAGAGATTGATTCTTAAACTAGAAAAGTCAAAATAGGTTTTGTTCCATGTTCCTTTTATGTTTTTCTGTTAATTATTTCAATAAATATTATTACTTGTCTAAAGCATAAAATGTCTTTCTAAACACATTTTTGAAGGCTTGTTTAACTTGCTGGTTCCTTAGAGTATAAATGAATGGGTTCAACAAAGGAGCAATTGAAGTATTGAGCACAGCTACTCCTTTGCTTAAAGTGATTCTTTCATTTGCTGATGGCTTTATGTAGATGAATATGCAACTTCCGTAAGTGATGGTTATAACAATCATGTGAGAAGAGCAGGTAGAAAAGGCTTTTTTCTTTTGCTGAGCTGAAGGGAATTTTAGGATTGTCTTAATGATGTAAGAGTAAGAAAGGATTACTACTAACAAGGTGACAAGGAGGGTTATCACAGCTAAGAAAAAAGTAATCAGTTCTAGTAAATGTGTGTCTGAGCAAGAAAGTTGCAGGACAGGAGAAATGTCACAAATGAAATGGTCAATGATATTTGAAGCACAGAAATCCAGGTTAAGAATAAAACTCAATAGTGGGAAAATCACCAAGAGTCCAGTTGCCCAAGAACTGAGTACAAGCTGGTGACAAACTTTAGTGCACATGATGGTTGTGTAATGCAAAGGCTTGCAGATGGCAACATAGCGGTCATAGGACATAACCGCCAAAAGGAAAAACTCTGTAGCCCCCAAGAAAAAGTAAAAAAATAACTGAGATATGCAACCACTATAAGAAATGGTCTTTTCCTTGGTTACAATGGTGTTTAGGAATCTGGGAATGCAAGCACTTGTGAATGATATTTCCAGAAAAGAGAAATTTTGGAGGAAGAAATACATTGGGGTCTTGAGATGGGGATCCATTTGCGAGAGGGCAATAATGGTTAAGTTTCCTATCATGCTCAGCAGGTAACTCAGAAATAGAAATAAAAAAATTACAATCTGTAACTGAGAATTATCTGTCAGTCCCAGAAGGATAAACTCTCTCTGTTTTGTATGGTTCTTCATTTCTCTTTTGAGATTTCAAATTCTACAAATAAAAAGATATAAAAATAAGAAACTATATGAGTAGTTTTATATCCAGTAAATGATGCATAAATAGACTCACATTCGCAAACATATCCATTTATGAGGTAATGCTCTGTGATCTGAAGACATGACCTAGAACTGTGCAACCAAAACTACTTTATAAAGCACTACTGAAATCAACTGAACCAGCAAAACCCATAATAATTGGCTTTCCCCCCCTTACAAACTTTTAGTCATTTGTAACTAATTCAAAATGTGTTCATTTGCAATATAAATTAGATAAAATCTTGATTTAGAATTAAAAAATAATCCATTCATTTTTCATTAACCATTAAAATAAAATTATACCAGTACATAATGAATTCAGATCTATAAATAAATTCTAAAACTTTTGATTTTATATTGAAGTGACATTTTCTTAATGCCCATTGTAACTTCTTACAACTTCTCTGTGAACTACTAATAAATTCATAGGAAATGACCAAGAAAAGGACATAAGACTGTAATATCATAACAAAATAACTGCTAACTGAATCTAAGAAAAGATTAAAACTGCATATAAAGCAGATATGGACACATTTACAAAAAATAATAATTCATTCAGGGCTTCAACATTGTGCACATGCAACTGACACCATAAAAATAAAGAATTATATAAATTTCAGCGTGGATCGTAAAGTGGGTATAGCATTATATCAATGTTAAATTTCCTGATTCAAATAGTATTGTAGTCATACTATAAGATTATGTCCTGCTTTCTAGGTCTGGGACAGTGGAGACGGTGACTCAGAAGATAAATGGGCTGCAGCACCTCACCAAAGCTGAGAAATTCCTGAAAACTGGTTTTTTAAAGTGGAAGCTAGATTATGACAGTGCTGCTTGTGAATATGGAAAAGCAGCTGTAGCTTTTAAAAATGCCAAACAGTTTGAGCAAGCAAAAGACACCTGTCTGAGAGAAGCTGTTGCCCATGAGAATAACAGGGCTCTTTTTCAGGCTGCCAAGGCTTATGAGCAAGCAGGCATGATGTTGAAGGAGATGCAGAAACTACCAGGGGCTGTTCAGCTGATTGAAAAAGCCAACACGATGTATAGAAAAAATGGCACCCCAGACACAGCAGCCATAGAGCTGGAGGGAGCTGGAAAGCTTATAGAAAATGTAGATTCAGAAAAGGCTATACAGTTCTGTCAGCAGACAGCTAATGGGTTTGAAAATGAGGAACATTTACATCAGGCAGTTGAATTACTAGGGAAAGCTTCTGGACTCCTAGTAGAAGGACACAAGGTTTGATGAGGCAGCACTCCCTATTAAGAAAGAAAAAATATTTATAAGGAAATTGAGAAGTATCCAACTTGTTATAAGAAAACAATCCCTCAAGTCTTAGTTCATTTCCACAGAAATAACTCTGTGGCTGCAGAGAGATGTGTCAGGGAGAGCTATGAAGATTGTGCTGCACTGGAGCAGCTTCTTGAAGGGTATGACCAGCAAGACCAAGATCAAGTGTCAGAGATCTGCAACTTGCCTCTTTTCAAATACATGGAGACAATGATTATGCTAATCCAGGCCTGAGTTTGGTGGTTCCAGGAGGGGGAATCAAGGAGAAAGCAGCAGCAGCAACACCAAAGGCCAAGCCTGAAGGCACCACTGCCATGTCTACAGAGGAATTCGAAGATGAATTGCAGGAGGGCTATGCTAAGTTTTACAGAAAGAAAGGGGAAAATCCTGATGTGCCATTCATGGACTTGGAACTTGTCTAAGGGAATCCAGACTTCATTCCAGTCATGGCTTTGAATGCTAAGAAAGATTAATTCTTTAATTATCATTTCCCCAAATCACCCATTGTACCCACTACTTGTGAATCATTTTTTTGCTTTCTAAAGACATCAGAAGGAATTAACAGAAAAAGTACTGTCACATTTTAATGTAGTTGATTTTAAAGTTTGCAAGCCAAATTCTAGACGAAATGTTCCAAACAAAAGGGACAAAGGCATATTCTTTTTCCTGTAATCTTTTTTTAATCTTTTTATTTATTTTTAGAGAGGGAGGAAGGAAAGGAGAAAGAGAGAGAGAGAAACATCAATGTGTGGTTGCCTCTCATGTGGCCCCCACTGGGGACCTGACCTGCAACCCAGGCATGTGCCCTGACTGGGAATTGAACTGGCAACCCTTTGGTTCGCAGCCCATGCTAAATCCACTGAGCCACACCAGCTAGGGCTCTCCTGTAATCTTTCTGTTAGAGAATTTTCCTTGCATTTTATTTGATATTTGCTGCTAAAATTAAAGGCTTATTAGTTAAACCAAATAATATTTTAAGTGTTTGTTTGTTATGTTTTGAAAAGGAAATTTATTCCCTGTCATATTACCTACATTTAAATTATTAAATTAAATCTTTTCAGAGGCAAGATTAGGATAGGAAGCTATTTTAAGCTTTACAATATTACTTAGTCCAATAAAAGATGGATCTGAAGTTTGAAAGTTCTGAAGGTAGCATATGGAAGTGATTCTGTAAATGTCTTCAGTTCTCTGTGAAATATGGATATTTTCCACACCAAAAACAAAACAAAAAACAACATAGTGACTGTCTCCAAACCACATGGTTGCTCACTAAACAGGAACTAATGGGGACCTTTTTATACACTCTAACAGAAGAGGTGATGCTTCCATCAATTTATATATACATTTTTTTCTTCCAAAATAATTTGATTCACTTAGAGTTGTAACAGGCCAGTAATGTGACATGGGAAATGCTGCATACCACCAAATTTCAGCCCAAATGAGAGGACTGTTTTTGAAGTACTTACATTTAGAGTACTATGCTGCCAGTATCTTGATTCTTTGTAGGAATTACCTAAAAGGTTATTCTGAAGTATTCCTTTTTCACCCGATGTGGTTTAGATGCATCTCCTAATCTATTCATTTGAAAGAGGCTCCAAACACCAGCAGTGTGCATTCTGCAGGCAGATGCAGCGTAGAGAGGTTTCCTGTTTGTTTGCACCCAGTCCCTCTCCTCATAGAGTGCTACTGTTGCGCTTAGTTTTGCTAGACTTCCTGCAAACACTAAAGTAGATTATCAGAAGTGGTTTTAGTCACAGATGGTTCTGTTCAAGAGTTTAGACAGTTTATAACATCCTCATTTGCGTGCTTGGGGTGTATATCAGGATAAAAATTTTTATAGGACTGATTCAAAACACTAATCAATTTGATGTTTTGATTCCTTAAATTGCTTGCATAATTTTGCGGGTAGCAGCTAATTTTCAATCATTGTTTGGAGATTAACTTTGAACAGTCTTACTAAAACTGTATTTAGGCAGTTGTATTTAATGACATATTAATATTTCAAAGTTGTACCCTTTAGGTCCAGGGAGAAACACAAGGCTTCCAGAGTCTTGTGTTAATGCTCATTTGAGCAATTAATAATCTGATTAAACAGACATGGTAGCATTTACAAGATATTTTACACCATTTGTTCATAGACCATATTATCAATTGCAGCCTTGGAATTGTTTTTTACTTTCACTCTTTACTCACATATTAAACAAAAATGAGGAGCGATTCAGTGCCTTCTGAAGCAGCAATGCAAGGGAGTCTTAAACAACCTGAAAGTCGTATACAAGTGCACCCTCTTGCCACCCTCCCTGCTCACATTTAAGGAATGGACTTGTGGATGTCAGGGTTATTCTATGTGGTGTCCAGTAAAAAGCACTGGTTCCATATTTACACATTTAATTTTTCCATTAACATAAGTCTTTACTTTCAGAGAATAGTCAGAGTGGAGAACTCGTGTTTACAAAAGTAAACATTGTCCTTACTTTCACCAAAGTGGAGGTCAGCATGAACATGCTCAGAATCTAATACTCAGAGTTCTGTTATACTGCAAGTACAGCCAGCCTACAAAATATATTTAATGTATTAAGTTTATTTGTATAGATGCAGAGTATGGTATTTGTGCTTTATTCCTACTTTTTCCAGCTCTTTGATGAGTAGAATATTAAATGTGTTGTTATGGAAATGCAGATTATTGCTACTATGGGAAGATAATTATGAAAACAAAATCTGAAACTATAAAAAGAAGGTTATGTCTTGTTCTTAGGAAAATACTCACTGAAATGTTTAGGAAAAGGGGTACATAATGTCTGTAACTGACTCTAAAAAATAACTCATGTAAAAAACCAGACACACACACACACACACACACCACGAAGGAGAGAATGATAAAGCCAATGAAACAAAATATGAATTTTTGCAACTTTTCAGCACACTTGAAATTATTATTAAAACAAATGTATGTGTATACTATTAAAATAAAAACATGTACATGTTTAAGAGAAATTGGTCTATTAGACTGATAATATTACAAATGCAACTTGAAATGTGTAACTGAGTAACTGATTTAGAATTATAACATTAAGTTGAAATCTTAAATCTATCTCATTCCTACATTAAAAAAACTTGAGGTTCAAAAACAAATAAAATAACTAAAAGAAAAAATGCAGAAAATGCATTACATCTCTTCACAATCTCCACCCATTTACAGGTATCCTGAACGTACACCCGTTTTCCAGGTGCAGCTCTGTGTCCGTGAAAATCAGTTTTCTCGACACATTGCCTGTGTCTTCATGGCCCCAGCAAATGACTCATATAACTAATCAGTGATTTAATCCAAGGAAGTACTGGCAAAGAAAGAATGTAATGATTTGGATAAAACAACTATTTTCTGCTAGTATTTTATGTTTGTGATTATAGGTTTTCAGAATCTTGAATGGCCAATAATGAAAATAGAGTGAATAACAGAGCCAAATTATCCCAATTGTCGAAACTGGTTAGGAATTAGCAACTGGATTTAAAACTGCTAATCCACACAAAATCTAGTTATGTATCTAGTTATCTGAGAAACAAAAACATATTAATGGCTAATGAGACAAATGACAATCCACTTTTAAGGTTAAGAGTTTAGACTCACCTTTCATTGTTTAAGAATGAT